GTTATTAGGTTTTAATTGGTTTTTAGAAACTCCTAGATTCTTTTGAGATTCATTGAACTTTTCAATGGCATGTTTCAATCTCGAGTGTGCCCTTCATGTTTTGTGACTGGGATACCGAGGAGCACAAAACAAGGTGTGAAGTAACCATGCAAATTACTTGGTACCCTTAATGTTTTTCACTTAATCGATGTGACGGTTAACCACACGCGCTCCACCGACCTATGAAAAACCTTAAGTCACCCTTTGCCTACCTTGTTAAGTCCAAGTTAGTGTGCCGGTTAACCACACACGCTCCACCAACGACTTAATCAAAGTGCAAAGTGTAATTTCATGGGTTAGCACCTTATTCACATTTTCCTAAAGTAACTAAGATTGGGAATTTATAAAACATTTAGTTACTTTATAATAATCATTATACTTTTAATGAGAATTTTAAGTCATTGTCCTACCCGTTCGGCTAACGACCCTCCACCAGTCAAGGAAGCGGTGGGTGAGAGTGGACACCCATTAAGCTGCCATTTTATAGGCAACAACCTTATACCCCCCTTATAGACCGGCTTCGTGAATGAGGCCTACTAACGGTAAAACGACTTGATCTTATACATACATATATATATATATATATATATATATATATATATATATATATATATATATATATATAAACTTATAATATTATAAAGTATAAGGGTTGAATTTTAACTTTTAAAATTCTAGGGGTTGGAACTAAAGTTTATTAGATGACTTTACATGTTCCAAAACTTGAGGGCAAGTTTTGTAACTTTACAAAACCTTTCAATTCATAACTTATGAGTTATTAAAAATGAAGACTCTTCATTTTTTGTAACTTATGTGTTCTTTTAATGGTTTTAAAACAAAGAGGCCTTTGGTTATCCATAACTTGAGGACAAGTTATGGACTCCATTAAAACACATAAAGATCATGAATTCAGCAACAAACAAGTAATTCCTATGATCTATCAAGAACTCAAAAGAACATGAATAATCATATCAAAATTTCAAGAACATATAAACACATATAATCATGCAATTTTGATATTAGCCATTGTAAATGGATAAGAACAACCATTACACCATCTAAAATAAGTTTTATAACACCAAAACAGTTTAGTGTAATGTTTCTAGTCCATTTCCAGCAGCAAAAATCGAAAAACTGCATTCTGCATGGCCAACTCGTCGAGTACACGAACTGACCCGCCGAGTTGGTTGCATTTTCACTTGGACTCGTCGAGTCCCCCCATGGACTCGGCAATTCCCCTGTGCAGACAGCAAGAAAATCGATTTTTTCACTATTTTGCATCAAGTATCAACAAACAAGCCTAGGCTCTGATACCACTAAAGGGTTTTGAGCAATTCTAACACTCCTAAGTGTACTTGCAACCCTAGAAAACCTTGGATCTATGTTTGTCTAAAATACATGCAAAATACTTTTTCCAAGGTTCATAAACCTATCTAGCATACATGGGGAACTTTAATCATAAAAATGGCTAGAATTACATACCTTGTAGTTGTTATGATTCCTTGAAAACCTTGAGAGCCTAGCAGCCCAAGTGTGATGCCTCAAATGCTTCACACAACACCAAATGCTTTAGAATGACTTTAGAGAATATAAAACACTTGTAAAATTGGCTTGCCCTCACTTGTTCTTAGTGTAGCCGATTTTGGTGAGTATCATAGTCTTTATATAGTGTGTCACATCTAGGGTTACACCATGTAAACCCTAATGTGACATGACTCTTCATTTCCATGACCCATGGGTTTGTAACTCCCATGGAGCCTCCATGAAGCATCCAATGGGTTTAACCCAACTTGATAATCCATGAAGCCTTTTAGCCCACTATACAAGTTATGGATGATTTACATAATCAACCCATATATTTAATTAGTCATCTTTTGATCACTTAATTAATCCTAGATTAATTCTTGATCAATACTAATTAAATAATATTATTAATATATTAGAACTTATAATATATAAATATACCACAAGTGTTATTTCTCTCATTTAGTCTATCCAAATGCATGATGCCATACAACCCAAATGGACCATGTCGGGTCGGGTTAAGTACATACCAGAAATAGTTATGGACTTAGACACCTTATCCAACATATGGTTCTACAAGAAATAGTTTTTGATGTTGAAATTGACATACAAGATCTAGATAAGCTGTTGGAAGAGAGCGAGTACAACGAATTAAAAAAATAGTTTGAAGAAACACCACGAGGTGGTACTGACACCACGACATGGTCATCTGATTTTTCTCGAAGTGACGTTAAAAACTGTGACACCACGATGTGGCAAGATGCCCACGTCGTGGTAACTAACCAAAAACCTAAAATCGAGTTGAACGCTTTGCCCGAACATTTGGAGTATGCATTCTTGGAAGAAGATCAACAAAATTCGGTCATAATAGCAGCTAATCTCATAAAACACGAAAAGGAAAGCCTAGTGGAGGTACTCAAGAAACGACAAAATGTCATAGCATGGAAGATCACCAACATAAAAGGCATTAGTCTTGCGTATTGTTCGCATAAAATCAACCTAGAAGAGGTAGCTAATCCAGTGGTGCAACGCTAAAGGAGACTAAACCCGATCATGCAAGAATTAGTGAAGAAAGAGGTAGTTAAGACTAAGAAAAGACCATGCTCACTTTGAAATCTCTATTATTTCTTTTTAGATGGTTTTTCAGGATACTTTGAAATCTCTATCGATCCTCAAGACTAAGAAAAGACCATGCTCACTTGCTCGAGTGGGACGTTTGCTTATAGAAGAATGTCATTTGGGTTATGCAACGCACCAGCCTAATTCCAAAGTTGCATGATGGCAATCTTCCACGACATGGTTGAAAAAATCATGGAAGTCTTTATGGATGATTTTTCAGTTTTTGGGTCCTCATTTGAAGATTGCTTGTCAAACCTTGACTTGATGCTAGCAAGATGTGAAAAGACCAACTTGGTCTTAAGTTGGGAGAAGTGCCATTTTATGGTTAAAGAAGGAAGTGTTTTGGGGCACAAAGTCTCCAAATTGGGAATAGAGGTGGACAGTGCAAAGGTGGAAACAATAGCCACATTACCACCTCCCACAAACGTGAAAGGGGTAAGAAGTTTCCTGGGCCATGCGGGATTTTACCGCCGATTCATAAAAGACTTCTCAAAAATCACAAGGCCATTAATCCAACTTCTCTTGAAAGATGCTAAATTTGATTTCTCCAAAGAATGCCTTTAAGCCTTTCAACTATTGAAGGAGAAATTAACCAATACCCCTATCATGATCGCCCCAAATTGGAACCTTCCATTTGAGCTTATGTGTGATGCGAGTGACTTTGCGGTTGGAGCTGTTCTTGGACAAAGGGTTGATAAGAATTTTCAACCCATATATTATGCAAGCAAGACTCTCAATCCGGCTCAAGAAAATTATACAACTACCGAAAAGGGACTCCTTGCTGTGGTCTATGCTTTTGAAAAATTCCGCCCTTACTTAGTTTTATCTAAAACTATTATGTTTACTGACCATTCTGCCCTTAAATATTTTTTTGATAAACAAGAAGCTAAACCAAGATTGATACGATGGGTGTTACTTTTACAAGAGTTTGACATAGAAAAAAGGGATAAAAGGGGAATGGAGAACGCGAGGCCGATCACCTATCGAGACTAGAAAACCCAGGATTGGAATAGTTAGAAGAAAACAAGATTGGAGACGACTTTCCCGAAGAATATTTGATGGTAATTGCAGGAGAGGTGCCATGGTATGCGGATATAGCCAACTACTTGGCTAGTGATTATCTTCCAAAAGAACTGACTAGACAACAAAAGAAGAAACTATTCTTAGAAGTCAAGTATTACTTTTGAGATGAACCATACCTCTTCAGAAGTTGTGCAGACAGAATGATCAGAAGATGTGTTTTCGGGAAAGAAAGTGTAGAAATCTTGAAGCATTGCCATAACGGGCCTACCGGAGGACATTATGGAGCACAGTATACGACAAAGAAGGTCTTTGATTCCGGATTTTATTGGCCTAAAATTTTTAAAGATGCCACTCAATTTGTCAAGGAATGTGATTCATGCAAAAGGTCGGGAAACATTTCCTCCCGAAACGAGATGCCCCAAAATGTAATCCAAGTTTGTGAAATATTTGATGTTTGGGGGATCAACTTCATGGGACCTTTTCCGATGTCTCGAGGGAATAAATATATATTAGTGGCTGTTGATTATGTATCCAAATGGGCAGAAGCACAAGCATTACCTACAAATGATGCTCGTGTAGTAGTTAGATTTCTTAAGAATTTGTTTTCGTGTTTTGGTGTTCCGAAGGCTATTATTAGTGATCAGGGAACTCACTTTGCAAACGAATAATTAGCCAAGGTGTTACAAAAGTATGGTGTACACCATAGATTCGCAACACCCTACCATCCGCAAACAAGTGGGCAAACCGAAGTTACAAATCGGGCATTGAAGAGAATTCTGGAAAGATCGGTTGGAAGTAATAAGAATGAGTGGTCAGAAAAGCTTGATGATGCATTATGGGCATTTTGTACCGCATTTCAAACACCTATTGGTACTACACCATATAGGTTGGTATATGGGAAAAATTGTCACTTACCGGTGGAAATTGAACATAAAGCATTTTGGGCTTTGAACATTTACAACTTCGAATTGGCTGAACTCTGAGCAAACCGTTTAATAAAAATAAATGCTCTTGAAGAATTAAGAAATGAAGCATACACAAGCTCCTTAATTTACAAAGATAAAACAAAGAAATGGCATGATGCAAGGTTAAGAGGATGCAAAGATTTTCAAGAGGGGCAGAAGGTACTCCTATTTAACACAAGATTGAAGCTTTTTCCCGGGAAACTACAAACACGTTGGGATGGGCCATTTATTGTTAAACAAGTTTTTCCACATGGGGCCATAGAGTTGATAGCAAGAGATGGAACTCCCTTCAAAGTTAATGGACACAGGGTAAAACATTATGAGGAAAGCATGCCAATTGAAGAAAATGAAAGGGAAATTATGAAGTTTGCACGAGCCGCATCAAGGTAGAGCGGGAAGGAGTCTGGCTCATGACTCCCCAAAAAGAAACTCTTTCAGGAGGCAACCTGTGATTTAGAGTTTGCATTTTCTTTCCTTTTTTTATTTTTTTTATTTTTTTTTATTTTTTTTATTTTGCTTTATTTTGATTTTTCACTCCTCTGAATTTTTATATGGGTTTTGTTGAGAGAAATAGCATTGCGTGAGTGTGCGATGGAAGTTTTTATAAAAAATTGGTCATAATTAAATAATTTTTATCACCATGACGTGGTGCCTTTACTAGAAAACAAAAAACACGGGCTTCAATAATTCACCACGACGTGGTGTCAAAACCCCGACGTGTTGTCCGTTAACCTGCAGTAAAAAATTAGGGTTTTTTTTAACCAACTCGGTCACTTTTTCTGTTACTTTTCAACTCCCTACATATCGCCGTATTCTTTCTCCCCCACGAAGGCATCCTCCCACTTTCTTCAAATTTTCGATTTTAACAACAAAATGGTATGATTTTTAACCACTTTTCTTAATAATAGACTATATGATTATCCATGGTGTGATTTTGCTGTTTAGAACTGTTATTTGGGGGAAATTTCATAGTTTAGGGTTCCGATTTTTTTCCAAATCAGACTTGGTTGTTGATGTTTTTACTTGGAATTTTACTTTAACTTACATGTTATTATGCTCTTAACAAACCCTTGACTTGATTTGAGTTGATATGGTCCGCAAAAAGATCGATTCTGCCCAGGTTACACGAGCAGATCGTCGACCACGACGACTCGTCGTGGTCTTCGACGTGGCCGATTATAAAACAGTTTAATCTGTTTGAGTTGCTTACTAACTTGCATATGGTTGTTGGTTTTGTTTTTATGCTTCTTTTGCAGAAAATGGCTAGCCAAGGAAGAAGAACTCAACCCGGGGGGTCATCCTGACTTCCTATGGTATAGTTTTTCGAGGGTAGTGGGTCCGGAATTTTTAGCTCAATGGAATGGAAAGCTTGCTTGGATGAGAGAACGAAGGGTACATGTGTCAGCTGAAGTCAATTGGACTTGGATGGAGGAAGTGGGTTTGTTGGAAGCTATTGAATCATTTATAGTTCAATCCTTTGATAGCGTTCAAGGGAGGTTTGTATGCATGGCCTGGAGGAGATTATTTCATATTCAAGAATTGGTATACAAAGAGTTTGTGGTGGAGTTTTTGGCAGCTGTAACCTTCAGACGAAATATTGGCATTCATGAGTCGGCGAACATCACATTCTGTTTGGGGGGCGAGAGGCGTGAGCTTAGCCTGGCGGAATTTGCAATGCGGACAGAGCTTTATATTTCGTCCGAAGTACATACCGAGTCTTACGTGGAGTTTATTTCTAGTTGTATCCGGACAACCAAGGGATTCAAGGAAGACCGATATTGGCCAAATATAGCTAATGGGGCATACAGTTTCGGGACCACGTAGGAAAGTGAAATCCGGTCTCCTATACACTGCCTCCTTCACCGTTTAATCACCAACACTATCAACCAAAGACAGGAGGGGGACAAAGTCCCAGGATTAGATGTTTTCTTTTTATGGAGCCTTATCACTCTTGATATCCTTGTTAACATTCCATAACTTGTAGCTGGATTTTTGGCAATACGGGCAGGAAAAGATCGTCGTGGATCTCCTCTTTATGGTGGGATGTTGATTACCTGATTGGCACAGTAATTTGGGATTTTACAAAAACATGAAGCTGCCATGTTGACAATAGAGTCGGGTAAGCCTTTTAGTCCACTTCTTTATAAGCGGGCTAACATTGTGGTGGATAATGGGTTTAACAACTTTTCTATTCCTAGTGATACTCCAAGAAACCAACCAGGGAGGCGGGTGACGCAACGAGCGGGTGACACGAATGATGATGAGCCACCCGTGATTCCAACTGAAGACGAGATTCCTATATACCCTTACAATGTTGCTCTCCGGCGGTATCAAGATAATTTGGGTCGGGGTGTCAATTACACCAACAGTGCTTATCCAGTTGCATACCCGTACATACCATGTTGAGACGAGTTATGGCAAGAACAACGAGGTGGAGTGAGTGGAAGTGGAGGTGGTCACAACAATAAGGACGAGGAATGATTTTTATCCTTTTATTTGAATTGGATTTAAGTCAATTTATTTTTTTTTGCTTTGTTTGGTTTTTTTTCTAGGATATTGGTAACTTAGGATTTGGTTGTTTTTGTTTTATTTATTTCCTTGTTTTATCATGTTTCTTGTTCCTAGAATTCCAGGAAAGTTTGAGTTGAGAGAGGGGTAATTTTCACGTGAGTTTGATAAGTTTAAGTGAAAGGATGGAAAATTACCGAGAGAGGCAACATTTGAGCATTTCAAGAATTATTTTGATCAACCAAGTGATGAGTCACGTTTACAGAAATGCACATACATATTGTTGACCAAATTGTTGAAGAAGTATGTTGAATAATGCACTCATTTTTTTCATTTTCACTACCACCACTACGTGGTAACCTTCACCACGACGTGGTGTCGCTAATAGAAATTTTTTTTTGCCACCACCCAACACGACGTGCTCCCTAATACCACGAGGTGGGGACCTCTCGATTCCGATTTTCGAGTCTTATCCTACACATTACGAAGTATAAGTGTCAAATTGTTAAAGTCAAGTTCCGTAACGGTCAACCAGTTTTGTTTTCACAATTATTGAAGAGCGATCCTACAGACAAGCAACACGATTCATGGTGCATCTTCTATCCTAGGGGAGTCTGTTCCTTTTTCTCCCTTTTTACCTTTATGTAATGCATAGCATGTAATGAGGGCGTTGCATCAAATAAGTGTGGAGTAGAAGGTATATTGCATTAGGAAGAAAGCATTTTATTTTTCAAAATTTGCATTGCTAGTTTTTACAAATATGCATTCATATAGACTTGAAATAATAGTTTAATTAGGAAAATCTAGCTAATTAAAACTTTTTGCTAGTATTGTGTGGGATGATCCGATGAGAGCCCAAATGTTTAATCAAGCCAACACATATTATAGTGTATTTGTGGCTTCCTATTTCCTAGTAAAAAGCCATGAGATATGAAAGATAATCTGGTAGTTTATATGACATAATAAATTTTGCAGCGTGTACCTGAAATCCATCCAGGAGAAGGTGGTGAATTCAAAGAAATTGAAAGACTTTAGCTTATGTAGTCATTACACTTAGACTAATGCCTCTAACCAATAATGGTTGAAGTTAAGCTCCTTGCTTAAGCATGTTGGACTTGAGTGAAAAAAAAAGTGAGATATAAAAAAAAGAGAAATTACCAAAAACTTGAAAGAATTTTGGAGCTGTCAAAGTATGAAATTCCAAAGATCAAAATACTGAAGAAATCCAAAAAGTTGAAGATACCAAAAATCAAACAAGAAGGTGGTGAATTCAAAGAAATTGAAAGACAAATATCAAAGAAGAGATGAATTCCAAAGAGATCCATCCTGGCATCAAGTTGTAATTTTCTAGAATTTATGTATTCTTAGTGGTTTAACCAAAAACACCTTGAGGTTAAGAAAGATTTACGGGGATGGATTTGGAGGGTTGCAAAAATGAATGTCGTATAAGCTAAGGGGTGAAGGTTCAAAAGGATTGTGAGTATTTATGTGACAACCGTCAATTTCCGGTCAAGTCAAAGTCAAATAAAGTCAACAAGTCAAACCGGTCAACTCAATTAACCTTTGTATATTAGGGTTTACATCGTGCTTACTATTGTACAACACACCATCGTAATGCAAGTATCACTTTAAGTCTTCATGTGTTTAGAAAATCTAAACCCTAATCAGTGTAACTGATGGAACAACTCAATAAAACATTAATACATACCCTTCGGGGGCGTATAACACTCATAACAAGGCAAAACGGGGTTTACAAACCTTGCATTTCGAAGTTAAACACTCGCAAAGGTCGAAAACAAAGCCTCTCTCAATCTCTCTCACTCTATCTCAAATCTCTCTCGAATCTCTCCCAAATCTCTCTCATAACCTCCCTCAACTTTTTAAAATCATTTGGGGCATCCCGACCCTTAATATAGTCAAAAACCGCTCGAAACGGGAAGATTTCTCGAAAAACAGCCATATAGGACCGAAGTCCCTATTAGAACCGAAGCCTCTCTTTCGAACCTCAACTACTCCTTAAGGACCGAGACTAGCTTAAGATCCAAACTCTTAAGGATCGAACCTGCCAAGACCGAACCTACCATGGACCGAACGAGGACCGAAGGTCCCTTCGAACCGAACTACCCTTCGCTTCTGATCACCTCAATTCGCTCCATTTAGTTTCGGGACCGAAGGCCTGGTTTGCGTCTCCACCTCGGACCGAAGGCTAGGTTCGGGTCTCACCCTCTAAGGACCGAACCTTCGTCCTGACTTCGGATTTTACCATTTCTTCCCGGTTTTCGACCCCGATCTCGTTTTAAGCTCGTTTTTCGTGATTTTAACGCGAGATTTTCACCCAAACTCGTAGTTTGGCATAAGAGACCCTATACATTCATAATTTAAGCACATATTAAGGGAAATCTTTGTCTAAGAATAATATCTAGTGGGTTAGATTTTGAGGTGGAGTGTTGACTTTGCCATAAAGTTATGACACAAGCAACCTCCCATACCCACTTTATGGCCACCCTCAGTCACTATTCACATCAGCCTTATCCACTCATTGTACTCTTATTCTTCCCCCACAAGCCTCCTTAAACCCACACACTCAAAGAACCTATACTACTCACATCCCCTAGGTCACAAACACTTCACCAAAAGCAAATACACTTTTCTCTCTTATTTTCTCTCCAAGAATTCGTGATTCTCCAGGGACTTTTTTGCTTTCCATTCTCTTTTTGGTAAGTAAATTCATCCTTCACTTGAATATCCTACACTCTTTCAATCAATTAATGGATTCCTTACACAAATATCATCATATTTGTTCATAGAATCTTCGAATCTTTAAGCAACTCCCAAGTGTTCTTGACTTGGAAACTACTTCTCTTCATCATCCATCCTAATAGATCACTCAATGTGAGTTCATACCCCCACATTTTCATTTTTTCTTCAAGTTTTAGGGGGAGAATACAAGTTAAAATACCAAAAACTTAACTAAACTCAAACATCAGCTTTCAACAGGAAAGTATAGTCCCATTCACGGACTGCTTTGACCATCTAAAACTTAATATCTTTCAAAATTGTTTAATATGAAAATAGTTCAGGTTCATACATTTAAAATTACTACTTGCACATCTCCATAAGATTTTTCTAGAATGTATGATGATTTTTACAAAACTGCCTATCATTTCATAAACAAATTCGGACCAGTCTGTGAATATGAACATTTTCACACACGTTAGAGACTTCTAAAAATCATAATAAAAATTATGAATAAACTAGACAAATTTTATAAACTCTCAGAGTTTACGGATTCAGTTTTCAACTTCGTATGATTTTTCTATGATTTTTGTAAAACAGTGCAGAAAGGTTAAAAACTAGTTACATAGCTTACAATATTAACAACACTTTGTAGTATGTTGAGCAAAGTGCATAACAATAAGTTTCTAAATTTTGGATGTATTTCTTGTTAGTTTATCATCATAAACATAAATTAGTCATTCATGATAATATTTTTCATTCATTTCGAACACATATAATAAACTACAATAAGTATAGTTTATGGATTTTACAATAAAAGCATACTACATGAAAAAGGTTTTACTCTCAAAACAAACGGGGTTTTCTTTTATATACCACATGATAAACTATAATAGTAATAGTTTATGGATTTCACATCACAAATTTATTACATAAAAGGTTATTTCACTTCCACCACGGAAGATGTTTTATATTCAAACTATATGTAAACTAGTTAACGTAAGTTGTGAGACAATTCTTCCATCGTACTCTTAGAGTACGGGTTCAAATTCCTGTAAGTTATAACCAGGGTCTCTTGTAGGGAGAGCGTGATAATTGTGTATAGATCTATATTGGGATTGACACCCCACACCTCGCTGCTAGCTACAGCAGGACCTGCATATCTACGGGTGACAAAAGTCATAGGATCTTGACGTCTGAAAAACGTTGTTGGAGGTTAATTCTCGTTATAGTATGGTTATAACGAATCACATAGGGAGTTAACAATCTTTCAAGTTTACGGGGAAAATTCTACTTTAAAAAGGGGTTTTATCTATTTAAAACTACAAACACGTTATAAGTACAAAACACACACATATTCTCGGTCTTGGGATTTAGGACTACATGACTTTTATAAAGAAAATATTGAATTTTCTTTGGAAACACATTTCTATTATAAACAAAATATAAGTACAAAATACGCACATACTCTCGGCCTTGGGATTTAAGGCTACATAACTTTTTATAAGGAAAATAAGGGATTTTTTCTTGAAGTATACATTTACAAAGTACCAGGTTTACACAAAATGGCTTTTATTCTATTAAAACTACGTTTCATCTAGAATTGTTAGACTTCAGCTATAATTGCTAAGTGTACATGTTAGAGTTATATATGAATTTAGTCGCAATCGACTTAGAATTGGTGGGCCCGCCTTACTTCCTGTTCCTTGTTTGGTTGTGGACCTTGGGCAGACCCATTATATTCGACAGTTTATTTAACTTAAATTTTATTTAACTTATATACACTGGGTGATTATAGAAGGAATCTACGGGTCTTTCTAGGGTACATTATTGCATAACATAGGAGCTTTCATTTCACACTTAATAAAGAAAATATTGAATTTTCTGGAATCATACTCTATCGCTTTTACAAGGAAAACGACTTCTTTCTCAAATAAAACTCTTATGAACTCACCAACTTAATTGTTGGCACTTTTCAAAACTACTTGTATTCTCAGGAAACTAGTGAAACAGGAAATCAACAGCTTTTGAGGATGGGACGTTGAATCGTCAAACTTTTCATTTTTGTCATCATAGTGTAATTGATTTGAAACATGTAAACACATACTATGGTGTAACTTTTTCAATTATATTTATGATGGTTGTATTTACTTTGAGCACTA